CGGCGGGACAAACAGCCGTACTCCGTACCCGGCAGCGCCTGCCACGTCCCGGCCTGGAAGGCGAGGGACAGTTCCGCGCTGCGTTACAGCCCTGCCCCGGCCGCTCTGTTCCCGATTGCCCATTAGTGGCCTGAGGTCATGGCCTGCCCGAGCCTGGGGACACGCCCGTCCACGGATCCGTCTGGGCCTGCCGACTGCCGGGCCCGTTTACGTCACCCAATGCATATGAGGCGTGATGGATCCGCGCGGCCCGATCGAGCGGACCCACGGTCTGTCGAATGGGGGCGTCTGCCTCCCCCGCCCCCCCCCCCCCCCCCCGCCTCCGCCGGCCTCAGCAGCACCATGTTCTTCTGCGCCGTAACTGAACGGATGGGCAGAGGGGGGGGGGGGGGGAGGGAGTGACAGTTGGCGGGTGACAGCCGGCAGTCACGTCGGGCTTACCTCCTCAGCGGCGGTAAATAGAACAGGTGCGTTGGAGGCCCGATCGGCAGCCATCTGTGTCTGCTGACAGGTCCCATTTCATGAAGCGTTGCTCCCTGCCCACGCTTCAGGTTTCTTGTTGTGCCACCTCGGCCGAGTCGCGAAAAGCGCGATCGCGATCGCATTTCCCTGCCTCACTGGACACGCAGCCTCATCCGATGTGGATGGTTTGGCCGCGTGCGCTTCCTGTAGCCGTTGTTGACCATGAACTACCGTGCCGGTGTGACAACAGTCTTCTGTGCCACCATTGACCCGACATGTCGGTGGCGACGCCCCTGTGATTGTAGCCGACCCACTTGTCTGGCCGGAGGTCGGCAAGACTGGCAGCGGATGTCGTCTGCTGCCAGAGCGACACGCTCCGAGCCCAAGACAGAGCCCGGGTTCCTCCCGAGCTCCTGCAGAGCTCCTGCAGAGTTCGGCTCGAGCTCATCTCTAGCTCCTCCCAAGCTCGTTCGGAGCCCGAGCTCATCCCTAGCTCCTCCCGAGCTCGTTAGAAGCCCGAGCTTTTCCCTGGCTCTTCCCGACCTTTTACAGAGCCTAAGGTCCTCCTTAGGCCCCCCGACCTTCTACAGAGCCTGAGGTCCTCCTTAGCCCCTCCCGACCTTCTACAGAGCTCTTACAGAGCTCGAGCTCCTCCGTAGCTTCTCCCAAGCTCCTATAGAGTTCGGACTGAGCTCTTCCCTAGCTGCTCCAGAGCTCCTCCTGAGCACCTCCCAAGGTCCTCCAGAGCTGTTCCCGAGCTCGGCTCGAATTTGATCGGCGACGGGGGCGGTCGGAGCTCAAGCTCCAGGCGGAGGCGGCGGCCACACCCCGAAGCACGCGCCTCCCGCGGCCGCGTCGCCGGCCCAGTTTCCGTCGTTTAATTGCAGCTGATTGGCTTCGGCCGACTGAGCGTCGTGACCTGACCACTGCGTAGCGTATGGCCGAGGCGAAGACATTCGGGGCAGGCGGCACCAGAGCGCGCTGGTCGTGTCGTCGTGGCATCCTAGGCGTTGATTTGCCGTACCCCACGGCTCAGGTCGAACGCGCGCCGACGAACCGTTCCGACATCACGCCACGCAACCTGAAAGTTGTGCAAGATAAACCTTCAACGTGTGTGGCAGCATCCTGGTGGAATGTTGTAGAAGACTTAAATGCGTTTGAATTATGCTTTTCCCTTCAATTAGAAGATGAATGCTTGCGAATATAAATGTTTGCAACTGATTTCTGTTCAAATGTCAATATTGAATTCTGAAACTATAATTCGATTCCTTTAAAGCGGTTCCTGCGGTCGTCATTCAATCCCGGCTCAGCTCAGGCCTGAGACAGCTGCTGATCTCACAGCCCGTAGCTGGTTTCGAAGGCCGCTGCTGGTCTCAGAGCCCGCTGCCGGTCTCGGAGGCCGCTGCTGGTCTCGGAGGCCGCTGCTGGTCTCAGAGGCCTGCGGCGGGTCTCAAAGGCCGCTGATGGTCTCAAAACCCACTGAAGGTCTCAGGGTCCGTTCCGGGTCTCAGAGCCCGTTCCGGGTCTCAGAGGCTGGCGGCGGGTCTTACCCCCAGCCGTGTTAGCTCGCCAGGTCGGCCGCCGCCGCCGCACCTGTCGCGTCGCGCCCCACCGGGACGCCTGCTCACACATTTAGCGCCGCCGCCGCCGCCGACCGATCGCCCGCGTCGCGTCGTCCGCGGCGGCGACGGCCCGCCCGTCTGCGAGCCGACTTCGACGGTCGGGCGCGCTGTCGTCGCCGTCGCGCCGGTGTCGGTGCCGTGCTGAGCCGCGGTGACTGCGGGGTCGCAGCCCCGTCCGTCCCGGCGCCGGCTGGCTGCGCACTCCTCAAGGGGCGTCGTCTCGCCGCTGATATATTTGTTGGGAGCCCGGCTCATTTCTATTCCTGGAGTGGTGATGGATGGGCGAGATCCTCGTTGTATTCTGAAATGCGGCGTTTGACGGCGCTTTGGCGCTGCAGTGGGAATTGGATAACCGCACGGGGCACCGGTGTGACCTTGGCTCTATCAGCAGTGCGCGTACGTCAAGACAGGGGCAGAAACTGGGACAGAGGTATGCCGGACGCTGTTATTCACCGTTATCGTACAATCGGACTGTAGTCCCGAGCTTTTTCTGGTGCTTAGTCGATTCTAAGTGCCGCCTTTCGTGGTATCGGTTCCCAATCTGCCAGCGGTCAGCGGCTGTAAAAAGCATGGCCGCGGGCCTCACCTGCGGGCCGTGCTGACCCGGTCCCGTCATCGGTCACCCTGTGACCGGCGGGTCGCCGGAATTTTGACGACGCGCGAGCCTGGGAACCGCCGTCGCCGGGAAAACAATTACGGCGCGTTTCACCGGCCGCGCGGCGCCGCCGGCCGGCGGCGGCGCGGCAGGGCCAGGTCGACTGCGCCGCAGTCCGGCCCTCTGCGCCGTTTTTGTCACCGTCTAAACAGCGCGGCGGACGATGTCGCTGAAAGGCCTGACTGCTGTAAGTGGCGACAGGGTGGGGTGATGCGCCACGAGTGTCGCCGCACGCCGCGCGAGTCGGGGGCGACATCGCGGCGCCACATGGCGCGCGCTCAGCACCCGCATCCACATCACAGGACACCCCAGAGCGGAACGACCCAGGCTGTCATGCGCCCCACCTCGACGGCCTGTTCCGCCTGGCCCGAGGCCTGGTCGGAGCGTGCGGCTAGCAGCCCTGGCACCGCCCGGCGGCGCTGGGGCCGGGGCGACGCCCCGCTCGCGCCCTCGCAGCGCGGCCCCGCAGCCCCCCGCGCGCCCGACGCCAAGGTACACACCTTGTCTCGCTCCCCGCTGTCTTGGACATGGAGTCGCCCCTGGTGAGAGTTTCAGGAGACCCGTGACAAAAACAGGCTGTGTGGCATGTTAAACACGGTACTGGTACTTGGTTGCACCCGTTGTGAGGAAATACGTCTACTGCCGGAGACTTTATCTGGACAACATTTACTCCGGCCACAGTGGGGAAGTGAAATGCTCTTGAAAAATCACGGCCTGTCTGACCCGCTTTGTTGGTGTTAGTTTCAACTTTTTGAAAGCCAATTTGATAAGCGCGTGCAGCCATTACGTTTCAGACCGCATTAAATAGCGGACATTAGGCTCCTCAAGATTGCAGGTGTTCTTGAATTGAAAGCACTGTGCAAATCTAATGTGCGCTTGGAAAAGCAAAGTACTCTGAAAACTATTTTAATGTGTTTCGCCGTTGAGAGCTGAGCAAAGGTTGAAGCACGACGCTTCACACTTTGCTCAACAGCTCTCCCAACTTGCCACTCAAAATTGAGTCGACTAACTTCAAATATGAAGCATGTCAAATTCTGCATTACGTTACCTTTGCCTCGAGTTTGCGAACAGTCGAGTTTTGCTTTGCTTGAGTGTTCATCGAGTTTTGCTTGAACATGCATGGCACTTCTCTGGTGCAAAAACCTGGATGTGATCTCTAGCTTAACCCATTCATCTCCACTCCATCAGAAGTCTGTCATCGACTGCACCTACAATGGCCGGTTTTTTACTCTGCAGAATGCTCCACAGTTGTCACCCTCCTCCTCCGCTAACTGCAGCACGTGTCGCTCGACCCCGGTCCTCAGGCTGTGGATCGCCGGCGGCGTGTTCTGCTGATAGCTTATTTCTCGCTAGTGTGGCCAAATTGCCTTTGACAGGTGACTGAAAGAATGACTGAAAGAATCATGACAGTTTCCAGCAAAATAACTTAACACACGCCCACAGATAGAACACATGAGTGGTGGATAATAAGCTAAGGAAAATAGATAGAAAGCAATATCCGCAATTTATTCGGGACAAGCGAGAAGCGTATTGAGATGTGGAAAACCCAGGGACTGGTGGGCGGCGGTGACCAACATCAGACAGCGCTCATTATTCATACATGACAGATAGCAGCTTAAAACGACCATCACATGTACTCATGTGTGTGAAGCTTTTCGAGGGAGTGTGCGGAGCTGAGGACTGAGCGTGCCCTGCAGGCCGCCTGCGGGACGGCTGCGATTCCGTTTCTCGGCAGGAATGCGGCCGTTTCAGCGCGGTAAACGCCGCCAGCACCCGCGATGCCCATCTAGCGGTAAATAATGTAACTAGCGTCAGTTTACAGGTAAACTAAACCGTTTAGATCTCCAGTTAACCCGGGCGCGGCGTTTTTGTGTGCGGCGATTTACTGCTGCCCCTTACGCGGTGTAATTGCCCGCATTGTGCCGACCGTGACCAGTGTCGGCTGTAATTGGTGGTGGCGAGTTCGCCGCTGCCGCGCCGCGCGTCGCCGCCGCGCCGCACCACGCTCCGCGCTATTCATCAGCTCGGCCAGCGCCGGCGACACGATTATTCACGGCGCGCGCCGCGCGAGCGCACAATTTTCCGCGCCACCCGCGCCGGCGGCCGCTGACGCGGAGCGCTGTTGACTTTTCAGCGCGGCCGGCGGCGGTGAGGGCAGCCGACGCGCCGCGGCCGGCGGCAGAGACGCGGCGGCACAGCCGAGCACCGGGCGGCGCAGAGTGCGCCCCACCGGCCGGCCAGTGACGCCAGATGGCCACGGAGGTGGTGACCGCCGCGGCGCCGACGGCGATGAACATCAGCGAGCTGTGCGCCGAGTCCGTCGTCGGACGCCGTGACGAATGTGCTCAGTGGGCGAACGCTACGCTCGCAGAGTGCGCTCGCAGGGCCAACGCCACGCTCGCCGAATGCGCGCCGGGGGCCAACAGCACGCTCAACGACACCAACGTCAACCAGTTCTACTTTTACAAGGTAAGCCGTCCGCAAATTGCGCCATTGTGAGCGGCCCTCGCGGTGTGATTTGATTGATGATCTGATACCTGGCGATGTGGCCGCTGCTATCCTGCCGCATGTTTGCTTTCGTTTGGCCGAAATGATTGGCCGTCGGAAACGCTCGCAAATCAAATAGCTGCGTGCTTGTTGATGCACTGTGTTTAGCACTCCAAACATCCGCTTTGTTTTGACAAGCGATTTGGTTGTGGTCGCCGGAGGCATGACAAGGAACACTATTAAATCGTCGACCGCGTGTCCAGAGAGCATGCGGCCGCGCTCCCGTTATCACGACGGGGTTTTTGCGCCGGTTTTTGCTCAATTACGAGCGCCTAAAAACGTGACTTTTTAGGCGTTAATAGCACCATTTCTTTTTGCGTGATGTTTGGTGGCGCAGATGGGATGTCCGGTTGTGTATCCGGGGTGTCCAGAGGGCTACCCTCGGGAAATAAAGCACAAGAAAACGGCGATAAAAACTTTGTAGAGAAGGCAAACGTGGAAATGTGGGAGGCATGTGACATTAAGCACAGCCTGCCTTGAGTGCACAAAGCCAATGCACATAGAAGAGAGCATGAGTACCATGATGACGTTGGACCCTTATTTCCAAAAAGACGTAATCTGTAGGAATTCATAAAAATATGACAAGCGAAGATAAGATATGCACCTGTAATACAACTGTGTAATGATCGCTAACGTACAAGGCTATTGTTCAATTGCTTTGAGCGGGCTTATCGCTCTGTTCGACAGTGTGGAAACGAAACGAAAAAAGCCGCTTCGTCTTTTCTTCAGTCATGACAACAGCAAAATAATGCAATTAATCACTGCTCCGACCTAATCCACCACGCAGATATCCAACTGGCTCATAAATTCTGTTTATGGCAGTTGCAGTATAGCTGAATTAGACATTTGGCATACTACTGAGTGAAATGTTCAGACTCTCGGAGCCGCACGTATTTGAAAGTAAGCCTGCCGCTCTGTTTACAGAAAACAACAAAGGTATGTGAGCGAGCATTCGTTCCGCCAAGATTACGCTGCCTTCTGATCTTGGAGACCAGAACCCCCGAAATGCAATAAAACTTGGCCACTGATTAGGTTAGTTATAAGCGCATGCAATCACTGGGCGATGTGCAAACAAATTCTCGCGACGATCAGGAAGAAACGGAGTTATCGTGTAGCTTGAGAACTTACGACCTCTAAGCCCCTTATTGGCTGCAACGTATATCGTGTGCATAATGTCTGACCTTTCCCAGAAGTCCGTTCAAGTGCTTTCCTCGTCTCGGCTGGGCTTCCGACATTAAAGGCACAGCGATGCTGTCCACGCGACTGAAGCGACGCGCACAACCTAAGACCCCTTCTCTGGGCAGCACGGCCCCGCTCTCTCCCCATTCTTGACATCACCTCTGGGCTATCCTTAACTACTCGAACGTCATGACACTCACGATCGAGCTTTGCCAAGTGTTGCTATGGAGGCGGTTAGCGTCGATGCCACGCGACTCAGTGCACATTTCCGCTGCGGCCACCAGAGCCGCGGCGCGCCGCCGCCAGCCAGCGCGAGCGGCGCCGACGGCGTCGGTTGCTCCAGGCTGCCCTTGTTCGTCTCTGGACGCCGGCGGTCGCTCGTTACAGGCGGCAGGTGGGGCCGGGCAGGGGCGTGGCCCTGTCCCAGCCGACGCACGCTGCTCTTCGGACCGCTGCATCCTTTACGGAGCGCCATTCGGGCGCGAGCAGGCGTCAACAAAGGGGACAAAGACGCCGGGCGGCCGCGGCGCACTCGTCGCTGGCGCGGCGCGCTCGTCGCCGCCGACCCGGCCGCGCCGAGCGACCAAAGGGGTCATTAGGGCTGCCGCGCCGCCACGGACCGAGCCGGCCGGTGCCGTACGGACGGCGCAGGCCTCGGGACCGGGGAAGGGCGCCACCTGACGCACATGTGGAGGCCTCGAGCCCGGCAGGCCAGACTCCTCACGAGAGACTGTGGTCTGGGGACCGGTCCCGGCGCGCTGCAGGACGAGCCCAACGCAGTCGGGCCTGGATCAGCTACGCTCGGGGCAAGCACGACATGTCACTCCGGAGAGGACGCGTCCATTGAAGCAATCACTTAGAAGAGGCTGCGGCTTATCCTGGAATCCACGCGCACTGATATCGTACTTCGGAGGATTAATTCGGCTGTCCAAAACGCTGAGTTATGTACCATGCGGTCATGTTGTTTGAGATTACGCATTGTTATTGCGTTTCCAGCGGTGATTGATGACGAAATCATTAGGGCTTGTGGTGGTC